TCCATTTCCTGAATTGTGTAACTAGAGTGATGCGAGGTATTGTTTGTACCTACTTACGAGGACGTATCGTGTGAAGCTACTAGCCACATTTCCACATCCAATGAAAGGAACATTAGCAGCTGGTGCGTGCACAGCTTTGACTGTCCCCAGCTGTCAACCCTCCTCCACGAGAAAGCATGAATCCTGGCAATAGTCTTCACTAATATGAAACCTGGTGGCAAGCTATGCGATATAAACATTTTCCTCATTTAAGTAAGCTTCGCAACATGAATACTATGCAAGTTTGATATATTACTGCGCCAATTGATTTTGCGCTAACGAAGTATTTGCAAAACTCTCTGAGAATATTTGAAACCATATTTAACGGCACATCACACATTCTTTAGTGACCAGCGCGTTGGCAACACTGCCCCGAACCCCGCCCGAAATTCGGCTAACATGAAAGCTAAATCGATCTACCTGCTTAAACACTTAATCAAACGGATGTAACAGTCGCGATGATTCCAGTAAGGTTGGACAGTAGAGACATCTCTAGTGTTCACACGAAGGCAACACCGCCCGGAAGGCGGTGCGGAACTGACTGCTCTCTGAAGCATATATGAAAAAGTTCATGAAAGAGTCGGAGTCTGCCATCATACAGCCAAAGGCTGTCGCCACTCCGAGCGTGTCGTGGTAGACGTCGGCCACGCTCAGCAGCATCAGGATGGAGTACGGAGCCCAGCAGACGAAGAAAGCGCCGACGACGATGCCAAACGTCTTGGCAAGCTTCAGATGCTTGGCGAGCTCAGCAGAAAAGGATTTTCTGGTCGCTACTGCCTCCTGCGAACCGCTGCTGCTCGGTTCCTGGTGGATCTGCCGCTGGTGGTGCTTGGTAATCATCATCATGTAAGCGTAGATGAAGACCATGGCGACGCTACACGTACAAACCACTATCATGCTAAAGATGACAGATATTTTACTCGAAACGGTGTCAAAGATGCATGGTTGGTCCGGCTGCCAGCGGTTGCCAATGAGACTTAACACGCTTACGAAGACGGCAACGCTCCAAGCCAGGACTACCATTAACAAGATAACGCGCGGTGTGACGATCTGGTAGTAGTGTAGCGGTCGCGATATTGCAATGTACCTGTCTACGTTGATGGCAATGAGAGAGTTTATTGATGCAACGGACGAGATCAAAACCACACTGAAGTGTCCAAGGCATATGATCTTTGGCGGGAATTCGATTAGAAAGGTCATTGGTACGATGAAGACTCCTCGGACGCCCATGATGAAATCAGCGACAGCCAAGTTTGCGATCAGCTTGTGTGCCAGCTCCTGCAGGTGTGATGTCCTTGTCACAGCTAAGATGACGAGAAGATTAGCAAGTATGCTGATCAGGTTCACAGGAATCAGCAGGTAAGCGATCCACGCCTGAATCGCTTTAACCGTTCCCTGTTCAATATCCGACTCGATGCAGCCGACCAAGCTCCCATTCTCGGACACGGACCCGGAGATGTTGCACAGTGAACCATTAGCTGTCGCCATGATGCAGAAATAACTCTTACTACGCCAGCTCCGTAATGCTACTATGACGTGCCACGACGCACACTGCCTCTTCGCATTACACTTATGCCTTTTATACTTAATAATGTCCCCCGTCACCCTCCCAGCAATTCTATAAATAAATGCTATTTTCATCGGAGTATCATTAAGCTACTGTGTTATATATATAAGTGTCTTCTATTATATCGATTAGCTGCGAGAATTTCTATAGGAACGTTTCGTCCTTTTCTCCTGAATCGTTTAACTCGCGTTATGCGGCGTATTGTTGAACCTACAAACGGAGACATGCCCTAAAAGCTAAATGCTAAAAGGAACATTTGCAGCTGGCGCATGGACAGCTTAGACTGTTCCCAGCTGTCGACCCTACGCCACGAGAAAGCAAGAATCTTGGTAATAGTCTTTTCTAATTTGAAACTCGGTAGCAGGCTATGCGATATAAACTTCTTTTTTTATCACAAGAGAGTTCCACGACATGAATAGAAATCAAGTTTTATACATTTCTGCAAGCGATATAATGCCAGCTCATCTAAGGACACTTGAGTGGTTCATGCAGTACACTTCGATCGTCGTTATGTTTAAAGCGACCCAAAGGTTTCGGCTACAAGCAGGGCTAGTTAGCCTATTGCATTGAATTGTACGTGTCTTTTGTGGAAATGGAAACGTTTACGTTCGCAAGATGACCCGAGCCATACCGATGCTGCAGCCGCTTGTAGTCTGCTTCACGCGATCTATGCGACATGAAGGTTACACTGGCAACCAGGAACCCGTAAAGTTAATGCTAATGTTAATGTCAATTAAGATGTTAATGTTACGAGAATAGCGCTGACAGAAACGCATCGCAGCTATGAGAAAACCTACGATAACAAGAACTTGATAATTTCATGTTACAAGGTTGCTGATTGGACACACACACACGCACACACGCACGCACGCACACACGCACGCACACACGCACGCACACGACTCCGGGAGCGCTCCTCCAACCCCTGGCCTGCACGACACACACACGCCGCGCGCAACGCACCGCGGACGCACGCACGCACACACACCACACTACACACACAATATATATTCTATATATATATTAATATATATACATATATTTCATTTATTTATTAATTACCTTACATGATACATTACATCTCGAAGGTACTGCGCAGCGCGATATGGCAGATAATATAAACTGATAGGCCGGACGATGGCCTGTCGGGAAGGTTTTATGGCTGCTACTCTACTCTACTGATTCGTCGGCCTGGGCCAGTCACGCTGTCAGCTGAACCGCCTGCATAATTTGAAATAAACGTGAGCCTATCTTTCTCTCTCTGCTTCTCTCTCTCTCTCTCACTCTCTCGTCGCCACTCTCTCTCTCTCTGCTCTCTCTCTCTCTTGTCACTTCTCTTCTCGCTCTCTCTCTCTCTCTCTCTCTCTTTCTCGTCTCTCTCTCTCTCATCTGCCCTCTCTGCTCCCCCACTTCTCTTGTGTTGTGTGTCCTCTCTCTCTCTCTCTCGCTCTGCTCTCTCTCTTTCCTCTCTCTGCAAGTGTCTGTTCTCTCGTCGCATTCTCATCTCTCTCCTTCTGCTCTCTTCGCTCTCTCTCTCGGTCTCTCTTCCTCTCTCTTCTCTCTCTCTCTCTGGTCTCTGTCTTCGTGTTTCTGTCTCTCCCTCGTTCCTTCCCTCCCCACCATCTCTTCTCCGTCTTTCATTAACTCGTCTCGCCTCCGTCCTCCTCTCTTTCCACTCTCTATTATACCTGCGCGCCGCGCCGCGCGCGCTCTAGGCGTTGTGGTGTGTTGGTGTCGTGTGTGTGTGTGTGTGTGTTGTTGGTGTGTTGTAATGTGTGTGGTGTGTGGTGTGTGCTGTGTGTGTGTTTGTGTTGTTGTGTGTGTGTGTGTGTGTGTGTTGGGTGTCGTGTGTGTGTGGTGTGATATTAAGCACATGCGCTTCTGCTGTTTGCTGGCTATTTTGGTTTTATATGCAGAACTCACGCCACAGCCTTGGTGTCCAATAACTTCACCAGCTTATTCTCTTCTTCGTTCTTTCTTTTCTCTTTTTCTTTTTTTCTTCTCTTTTGTTGTTGTTGGCTGTTCTTGTTGTGTTGTTACCCTTGTCGACTCCCTGTGACAGCCAGCACCGGGTTTCCTGTTGTCAGAAACAAAATTATTTCTAACATAATGCTAAAAGGAAACTTATTTCTCGTAAGCCCGTAACTCAACACTGCGCCTGGAAAAACGCATAATTTAGCCATATATATATACATTATATATTAGAATTACATCATTCTCTGTTAACGTCTATGAGAAAATAGAACTGAGAACAATTGTTAACGACTCAAATTGGTAAAACACGTTTTTGGCTTCGACAACGTACACCACGATCAGCTGTGACTGCTGCAGTTTTCAACTGATTCTATCTCAATTCGACTTCGTGATCACCGTGCAGTACCGGACACAAGTATTACTCATCGACCACGAGGTATCCTTGACTGTATATTATATCATATATATATATATTGCCATATTTAATTGCGAAACGTTTTGCATCGAGCTTTATTTTTGGCATTTTGCGACATTTGCGCATTGCGCACTTGCGGCGAGCCGATTGCTAAAAGTGTTTAAAATTTAATTTGTAAACAATGTCATATATACAAGCAATTATTCGCTGGGCCGGGTTGAAATTGTTTCCCAATGCGCGTAACATTTTTAAGCGATCGTGCTCGCCGGCAAGTGCGCGATGACGCAAAATTAGCTGCGATTCGAAACGTCAAGAAAGAGCGCTAGTAGATCGCCCGCTGCCGTGTGTGTGTGCGTGGCGGTGCGGAGTGTGTGTGTTGTGTGGTGTTGGTGTGTTGTGTTCGTGTGCTGGTGTATGTTTAATCAGCATCAGTCGTATTGTTGATGGTGCAACGTCATGGAACACGAGAGTGGGGCAGTGTCCATGTGTCCTTGCAGCGGGTATGATCAATACACTCACAAGCTCTCAGCAGTCCCATAGCTCCTGACATAGCCGCGCTGCTGTAGATGGGATACTTGCTACAGTCGTGACAGGTCTGCACATCGTCGACTGATGCTGCTACATGTGACAGATGGCTGCTTATCTCGTGACATGAAGGTCTTGTTACATCGTGACAGAGGCTGTTACATCGGTGACATAGGCTGCCTCCATCGTGACAGAGGCTTGTTCCATCGTGAACAAGAAGCTGCTGAACATTAGTGAAATAGGGGCTACATTCGTGACACAGGCTGTTACAGGATCGTGACAGAGGCTACTGCAGTCGTGACAGAGTCTGCTACATCGTGACAGCGGATCCGACCATCGGACAGACTGCCACATCGTGAAGAGGATGCACCATCGTGAACAGAGGCTGCTACATCCGTGAAAAGGCTGCTACATCGTAGCAGTAGGAGACATCGTGAAGAAGCTGCTCCCATAGTGAATAGTCTTCTACACTCGTGACATAGCTGCTACAGTCGTGATCAGAGGCTTTACATCGAGACCTACAGGCTGTTATATTCGTGACAGAGCTGCTACCTGTGAAGAGGCTGTTACAATCGTGACTAGGGCTGCTTACACTCGCGTACATAGACTGCTACATCGGTGACAGAGGGCTGTTACATCGTGACAGAGAGCTGCTACATCGTGAAAGAGGCTCGTTACATCGTGACATAGTGCTGCTGACATCGTGACATAGGCTCCTAAATCATCGTAGACAGAGGCTGTTACAATCGGTGACACTATGCTGTACACTGTGACATAGGCGCCCTTTGCTACATTTGTGGCAGAGTCTGTTAACAATTCGTGACATAGGCTGCATATTGTGACCCGGCTGCTACATCGTGACAGAGCACTGCTCGTGACAGAGTCCCTGCTACTGATCGTGCAGAGGATGCGACAATCGTGACAGAGCTGCTACATGCGTGACCAACGCTGTGACATCGTGACAGAGGCTGCTACACGTCGTGACCAGAGCCTTCTACCATCGTGCCAGAGGAGTACATTTGTGACAGAGGCTGTACATGTGACAGTAGGCTCTAACACCGTGACGAGAGGGTGATACAATGCGTAACCGACGGCTGTTACACTCGTGACAGAGGCTGGCTACAATTGTGACAGAGGCTGCTACTCGTGACAGAGGCTGTTCACGCTCGGTGAACATAGCTGCTAACAGTCGTTACAGAGGCTTTACATCGTGACAGCAAGGCTGCTCCAGTCGTAACTATAAGGTCTGCTACAGTCGTGACAGAGGCTAGTGCATCATATCAAGGCTGGTGACAGCTGCGTAAACAGAGACTGTTGAAATCGTGACAGATCTGGTAATTCTGTGACAGAATCTGTTAAATCGGACAATAACTGTTTACATCGTTACAGAGCTGCTAATCTCGTACAGAGCTGCTACACATGTGACAAAGGCTGCTACATCCGTGTTAGAAAGGCTGGCTATAAAACTCGTGGCAGATGATTGCTACATTCGTACTGAAGTTGCTACAGCGGGAGAAGCTGCCTATATCACCCTGACTGAGGTTGCTTAGATCGTTTTCTGAGAGATATCCTGCAGATGTCTTCCTCGATGCGTCGTTACTCCTGTGTTTTGTGCTATTCTCGCGGCCCACCCCTCCTCCTCCTCGCCCCTCGCCCCGCCTCTTTCCGTCTTCCATCACCCGTAACAGCAGATTCTTAGCCCACCGATTTCCAATCGGTGTCACGAACTGGAACAAGGCGACTACGACGGCCCTGGCCGTGACCAAGCACAGAGGTAAGACCCGGCCTGCCCGCGCCTTGCTCAAACCTCAGCGTGTCACCACTCAAGGTGGCGGCCTGTGGTCGTGTAATAGAACGCGGGTTCACTCTGCATCGCGCGTTCTCCAAGAGCTGTCCTACGTTTTATGTACTTACACTAGCACGTCACGGCACGCTCTACCGGCTTGACAGGCATAGTCGCGCGGATGGGAGCGGGAGTAGATAGACCATCGCTAGCGTATCTTGCGA